ATTTTTTAAAGCAGATATAATTAAATAATATTAATAACCAATTGAAAGGTTTCATAAGTAAATCTAGACTAAGCTTCTGATTCATCAAAATTTTTTTGCCACATGAACATTGTGCGCATTAATAAACTAATAATGTTGCTTTATGTTTCTATGTTAAATGCGCGTAATGAACAGGGAGTTATTTATAGAAAGATAATTTATATTTAATTATTTTTATTTTTATATAATTATATGAAATATAATTTTGAAATAGAAAAATGGTTTTCGGTAAAAGCTTAATAATCTCGTTGGCCATATTCTTGAAATTAGAGAGTAGTTTTGTCCTAAATTCACTAAAATTAATTTCTAATCCCAATGTCGTCCTAGAGAACAAACTGGAAATAATACACAACAAATCGTGCTTCAGTGACTGGTATTTTCATAATTTCGTCAGATTAAGCGACTTCCCATACAACCTTATTTGTGTCTTGGAGTTTCATCTTATCTCGTTTCGTTTTTGAGACAAAAATTAAAAAATCGTTAGTTCATTCCCAGTCGACTGTCGTCAGTTTGAAATCAATTTTTGGGAGGCAAATGAGCGCCTGACATTAAATTGCCGTCATTATAATACCAGAACGTCACAGGTAAAATGACGTCAATTGCTGACGTCTTTATGACGCCAATTTACTGACATCTTAATGACGTCATTAGGACGTCAATTGTTGGCGTAATTCATAGGGTTTTTGGGTTTTTAAATAAAGTTTTATATTTGGCAGTTACAAAAACGTTATTTTCCTTCAACACCTTCTACCTATCTTCTACCTATCTAATACTATAGGTCAATTTTGTTCTGTTTTCTTGTTCACTTTTAGATTGAAAGTCCCGGCAGAAAGCCCATTTTGTTCTTTTAGTTTCAATTTTTGGTTTTGTTAAATCATCGATTTACAGTCTCTCGAATTTACCTATATAATATATACCTAATATGTGCCAACATAATGAATATTCAAAACTATTATACCCCGAAAGTAATTTACTTAATGATATTTTTCGCGCAGATTGAAAGTTTTGTGTCTTCCGACACAAAACTTTTTTGTGTCGGATTTTAATTCAACGCCCTCTATATTGGACAGGAACAGGAATAATTTCCGGACCAATACTCATAAAAAAATTTCTACATAAAATTATTCCAAAAATTTTACATCAATGCCATATGCGCTAATATTCAAAAGTGTAAAGTACAAAATAAGCGGATCTTAAAAGTGCGCTTTTTCAAGTATTTCTGGTTTAATTTCTTAGCAGGCAAGTGGATCAAACTCGGTATATATGTTAGGTCTCACAGGAAAAATATACATTGTTGCTTAGTAGTGCGTCAACGTGCGATATGGATGTGTGTATGACGAACAACGCATTTTGAAAAACTTGCTATAAAAGATCCCGGGGCTGTTCAAAAAACCCGAATTTTTTTGAAACTACATAGTTTTTGATTCAATAAGGATCGAGTATTGAGTGGTTTTCAGGATTTTTGAAAGTCAATACAATAGGTACTGGTAGATGACCAAATCGACCAACTTTTTCAATGAGCTTTGTTACTTTATTCTGCGAGATTAAGAAAGTGTCCAACGCCCTAAAACAAATCGTTTGTCTTCCCCTAAACAGTTTTAACATTGGAGGGAGGCGAGGTCCAAGCATCTGTACCTCAAATACTCACGGAGTACAGTAATAAAGCTCATTCAAAAGTCGATAGATTTGGTCACGCACAATTATATTTCAAATTGCTCGAAAATTATTGAACTTTTTAAAACGGCTGAAGATTCACTTTTTTACTGCAAAACTATATAGCTTCGGGAAAAGTTTTTGAGCATACCTCAAATTTACGTTATAAAAACTTGACCTGTCGCGTGTGGAAACTTATGGGTAGGTTTATTAATCATGTGAATCTGAATATGCGTATGATGAGTTTCATAATTTTACCTGTAGTCGTTAAAAAATAAAATAATGAATACTTGCTGATGAAGCGCAGTTTTAACCGCTATCTTTGCAAGTTGACACTTTTGGAGTTTGACGTTGTTTTTGAAGTGATAACTTTTCATTCCCATAGAAAGTAATTTATTTTATTTTATTTATTATATTTAATTCACCCNTCTCACTCCCGACTCTTCGCGCCTGAGGCTTGGGACGCACATACGCACTTTTAATTCGACATTTTTCTCTTAGTGCGGGTGCATCTGTAGATCTGATAAACTTTTCGAATACACCTTGCGTTATTAAACTGACAGTGATTTTGATTTATCAATTATTGAGTGTGATATTATTGTGTTCGGTGCAGTTTATTTTATTATATTTTTATTTTATTA